TTTCCTTGCTGTCTCCTCTTAGGAAGGGGGCCTTGAAGGTGGATCCTACCCAATCCCCACAGGAGAGACCTGAAAACTGATCTCACCAGAAACATACATAAGAGCACGTTATTCCTTCCTGTGTGACTGGCACAGCACAGAAGAGACTGACTAAAAACACCCTAAAGAGCACCTCTGCTTCACAAATAAGCAGAGCTAAACAGATCAACTAAATTGACAAGGTAAACTGATGAGGGGAAAGAACAAACAAAAGAACTTTCACTCTTTCACTCTCCATCCTGAAATGCCAATAATGGGACAGGTTTTTCCTACTAAATACAAACAGACACATATAGTTCATGCTTTTCAGGGGAGGGGAAGCAGCAGAAACATCTGAGGTTATGAGTTAAGATAGGCCACTCCTCTATTGCTGGTATGTTAAGAGAAACAGCCCAAAACCAACCTGGAACATGTTGACATCGAGCGCTCTCACTGGTCCCGTGTGCTTGTCCTTCTGGGCTATTATCACCTCAGCCTCCCCATCCAGGATTTTGGCCGAGTCATACAAGATGACATTGCCATTTTCACCCCCAGCAATCAGCACTCCAGACACTCTGTCCCCTGAGGTCATGCTGTGAGGGCCCCAGATCAGCTTGTGGTACCTGCAAGACACAGAGGGCCCACAGTCTGAGCACCATCCACCACCAGCTCCCCAGAGGTTGATGCATCCCATTTTTGCTCACCCCAGCTGAAGTCAGAGAAAAGCACTGCCTGCTTTTCTCCCTAAGGATGAGTCTCAGCACAACCCTTTCCATCAGGAGGGCATGCCCCAATTCTGCTCATTAACAAGAGGCACAACCAATGACCCACAAACTGGTAACATCTCCAATCTCCTGGCTGCAAAATCAGGTAAGTGCTCCTGACAACAGCAGGCAAAGTGAGGGCTGCCAGCCCATCCAGCCACAGCCTGAGAAATCTCTGCTATCTGTGAGCAGCTTCATACAGGAGAAGAAACAGGTCAAACTAGAAAAATTCCATATGCTTTTCCATATCTGTGCTTTTGGATGTGCAAGTGTTTTGTCTGCCATGCCAGGGACTCAGTAAGTTTAGCCAACATCACAGACACATCTCTTGGACCACAGCCTATTCCTAGGCTAACTCAAGAGGAATCAAACATACTTCCAACAATTACAGATTGTGTCCATCTGTAAATACCCAAACTCCCTTCAACTCAATTAACTTCCTGCCTAAGCAAAACAGCATTCCTGCTGTTTAGCCATGCAAAGAATGAGTATGTTCTATATAAAATGACACAGCCACTTATCAGCTCAAATACAAGCAGAAAGCAAACCCACATTGACTGGAAGGTGACAAGGAGATACCTCAGCATTCACTGTAATATTGCTCATCTATTTGTTACCTCCAGGCAATCTTCAAGTAACTTCTTCAAATCACAGCAACTTTAGCATGGTAAGATAGAGACTGCAGAAAGGTACCCAAAGAGCATATGCTGGGTGAGAATTGCCACAACAGCCAAGTGTTCAGGCTCCCAGTGCTGAGATTACAGCAGGGGTTCACCAAAGAATGATGCTACAAAAGGAAATTGGTCTGTGATATCACACAGACCCATTCCTGGCTATGATTTTTATGCTCCTGCACCTAACTATGCAAGTTTACAAGGAATGAAGTAACTGACAGAGCTGTCCAGGCATCAGCAGCAAGACTGAACAGGACTTAACCCAAAATGAGGAAACAATGAGGAGCAAAACCCAAAAATTACCACTGCAATTACTTCCCTTTTGCCCTTTACTCTTTCCAAGATAAAGCATGGTTGTACAAAAGCAGTGCAAAACTTTGCTTGGAGGGCAATTAAGGATTTATCTTTTGTGGGTCTAATCACCTGGACATGATTTGCTGAAAACCAAAATATGGCCTGACGTATACACTGCTATCTAATCTTTAATTAGAAACAAACAAGCAACCCTCAACCTCATTTTTAATACATTCTCTGGGGCAAAGTCAAATTCTTGTGTTGCTGGTCAAGGGAGGTACTTTGCAAGGAGCACTGCATCCTGGCTAGAATTTTTTCTAGAAATTCAGAAAGCAAATGGCAAGCCTTGAGGAATCTCAGTCATAGTTAAAACAAGGTAGAACAATGAAACTCAAAGATCCAGTGCCTCCTGCTCTGGGCAGGTCAGTAGGACATGTTGACATCAGCTCTGCTCACAGAGCAGGGCATTTAAAAAGGGATTGTGGCAGTTTCAGCTCTGCCAGAGAGCTGCTATGGGTGCTGCTGAGATGGGAACTGGATGCTCTGATGCTAACAATATTTGTCTGGATAAGCACACAGTAAGGCACTAACAGCTAAGTGGAGCTGTGCAGCCAGGAATTTGGCTTCCCAGCTGTAGGAACACACACAACATAACCCAAGTTAATCATGTTACAGGAGTCCCCCTGAAATGCCTACATACAAACAGGATGGTGCAATATGAAAAGCTGCCACCGTATTTTCACAATTTCACATTTTCTTCTGTTTTCTTGTGAATCCCAGAGGCTTCCTGAAATAAAGGGTCCACACATATACTCAAAAATTTTCCATTTATGTCAAACCATGAGCTGCTTTCTTAGAGTCCAAGCTTGCTGCCCCACAGCATCAATTGCACACACTTGCCTTCATCTTTCAGTGCTGAACTTCTGCTTCTCTCCTCAACAAGTGCAGCCAAACCAAGTGAAGTGACATTTCTATGCATATCACACATAACAGTTCCACACACTGTACTTTTCTCTTACAACACTGCCTACCTGTGTGAGGAGGAGAATGTGGCACAGCTCTTCATATCCAGTGAAGGGTCTGCTAAGTCCAACTCAAATATTTCCAGAGAAGCACTTGTACTGAAGGTTGCATCCAGCTGCTGAGCTGAGGTACCTGTGAGGAAGCAGGCCTGGCAGTGAGAAGGGCATGATACACAGAGCAGTAACTGCAAAGGCAGCACAAGAAGGGGAACAAAACCATCATCCTTTCAAAAAGGATCCTGAGATAGGGTCAGGTTTCTGTTACTCGGATGTTGTTCCACACAACTCTCCTCCCCATGGCCCTTTGTTTGGGTGTTTCTTAATGACTATGAGCAGGAAAAGCTTTGGGCAAGTACCTCTCCCTGATGATGCACAGAACACGATTAAAGTTACAAAGGAGCCACAAGTGCTTAGGATTGGTGTCACCTTTCCCTGGCAGAAAGGGGAGGATGCTGGCTGCCACTTGCAGAATGCAAAGCATGTTTTTATCAGCACAATGCAAGAACTCCTCTCAAAACCCCACAACATACACCCCACTCCAGCCCCCAGGACACCGAGTAACTCCTCCAGCTTTCAATAATGGTATACCCCTTCATTCATGGTGTGCAGCCACCGCACACAGTCTGCCAGCACGTGCTTCCCAAAAACTCACCTGTGGCCAGGTAAATGGGGTGCTGCTGGGCAGGGCTCCATGCCTGCATGGCAGTACGGTCTACTTCCTTCAGCTTCATTGTGCTGGAAAGCGAGACCAAGAGAGGTGATGCTTACATGGTGCACGGTGAGGCTGCACTGCCACGGGATCAGGAGCCGCACCGGGGCTCGGCAGAGGGACCATATTCCTAAAGATTTCTCTCAGACAGACCCAGGCCGCCCTCTCCAGAGGACACCCGGGGGAGGGGAGGATACACTCCCCATTAGCAGAATAACACTGACACGTAGAGGAAACTGACGGCTGCGGAACATAACACAGGAAAACGTGGGCAAAGCTTCAGCAGCTGTGCGACCGCTCTTCCCACAGCACCGAGGCATCGGGCACCCTACAGCAGCTCTCTGCCCTACCCCACGGAACAGACCCAGCCCCGGGAGGACCCTGCCCGGACCGTGCAGCCCAGCACCCTCAGCGGCTCCTTCTGGGTCCCGTTCAGCCCCCGAGGGCTCCCCCGCCCCGGGAGCGCCCGGCCCGGCCGGCAGGACCGCCACCCTCGCCCCGTTTCCGACGGGAGCCGGAGGAGAACAGCTGCAAACCAGAGCATTGCGCCGTGCCTGCCCTCACCTCGGCGTCCCCGGCGCTCCCCGTCCCCGGACTGCTCCAACGTGGCAGCCCCGGCACCGCCTCCCGGCCGCCACCGCCTTCCGGGCGCGCCCCGCGGCTTCCGGGCGGCGGCAGCGGCGGGGCCGCGCCTTCCCGGCACGGGGCGGGAGCGGCGGGCAGCCGCGGGCACCGGGGGTGGTGGTGGTGGGAGGGTTTGTGTGGGGATGTGCAGCCGCCTTCTTCCACGCGTGTCCTCCGTGTCCCTCGGGGCGGGAGCAGCCATCGGCCCTGGGGAAGAGGGAGACGGGTTAGGGGCGGCGGGAGCGGGGGGAGCCGGGGCGCAGCGCCGGCAGCGCGGGGGCCGCCTGTCCTCAGCTCAAGGGCAGTAATCATGGCGTGCTCATGATGTGAACAGCAGTGAGGCTCATCACGGGACAGGGGCCGCCCCAGGGCGGGGGAACGGCCCAAGGGTGCTCGGCCGGCTTCCACAGTCGAGGGCAGCAGCCCCGGACCCACCTCCTCACGGCAGCCGGGGCACAGCTCCGCTGCCGCCTCCCGCCGGGCTCCGCGGCCGCTCGGCGGGCAGACGCCGCACGCGGGGCGGGCGCTGCCCGGGCCGCATGGCGCGGCTCAGCGGGCACACAGCGGGAGAGGCGGCGGGTGCTGCCGGCCCCGGTATAAATAGGGGCGGGAGGCGCGGCTCCCATTGGCGCTCAGGATCGCCCCTCGCCACTGGCTACGCCCATTGGCCGCCGCCGCCGCTCCCGGTTGGCTCGGGCCGCCCCAGCTCCCGCCGCCGCCGCCGCCGCCGCCGTGACGCGACCGCGCAGCCGCGCCCAATGAGGCCGCGATCCGACGGGCCCGCCCGCCAATGGCGAGGCGGCGGCCGGGCGCGCGGGCGGCGGCGGCGGCCAATGGGCGGGCGGGCCGTGGCGCGCGCGCGGCGGCGGGCGCGGCGGCGGCGGCGGTGGCGGCGGCCATGACGCGGAGCTGCTCCGCGCTGGGCTGCACCGCTCGCGACACCGGGCGGAGCCGCGAGCGCGGCATCTCCTTCCACCAGTGAGTGCGCCCGCCCCGCAGCCCGCCCGCCGCCCCTCCGTGCCCTCATCCCGCCGCATCCCTCTGCCGCAGGTTCCCGGTGGACGCCGCGCAGCGCCGCGAGTGGATCCGCGCCGTTAACCGCGTGGACCCGCGGAGCCGCCGGGCGTGGCGGCCCGGCCCCGGCGCCATCCTCTGCTCCCGACACTTCGCCGAAGGGGACTTCGAGTGCTACGGGCTGCGGCGGAAGCTGCGGCGCGGGGCCGTGCCCTCCCGCTTCCTCCCCTCGGTGCGGGCGGGTACCGGGCGCGCTCCCCGCTCCCCCCGGGCGTTCCGCCGTATGCCGTGACCTCCCCTCTTCTTCCCCCGCCAGGAGCCGCCCGGCGCCGGCCGCACGAAGAGCGGCACCCCCGGGCGGGCGCTGAAGCAGCCGCTGCCCAGCCCGCCCGCCGGGGACCACAACTACAGCCTGCAGGGCCAGCGCGCCGCCCCGCCGAGGCCGCCGCCGCACGCCCCGCAGCACCAGCAGCAGCCCCCGCCGGCCGCCGGGAGATGCGGCCCCGCGCCCCGGCGCAGGAGCGTGCCGAGAATCCTCAGGGAGCTGGTGGCAAAGCGGCAGCTTTCCGAGGAAATCGTGAGTTTGCTGCAGGCGCAGTTTTCAGGTACTGCCGGGACGCTCGCTGAGGCTGAGTGCCCTCCCTCGCCCCCGGTTCGCGTCTTTGCTTAACCAAGGAAAAGGCGAGGCACAGTGCTACCGTGCCTGAGCCCTGCACTTCACACTGGACTTCAGGACCGAGTTGTTCCAGAGGCCCTGCTGTGTTGCCTTGTATTCTGCAGTGCATTTGTGTCAAGCATCCCTCTGTTTTCAGCCATTTACTTCTTTCACTAAAGTTGCCCTTTTGTGATTTCTTAAACAGATTTGCCTCGAGAGTTGCACAGCTGGAGGCAGATGGCAGACTACTCGCCAGAAATGAGGCAATTTGCTTGTCTTCTCCATCTCTACCACATTAAGGCCTATGATTACCTAAGGAAGATTCTTCCCCTCCCTCATCCTTACAGCCTGACAAAGCAAGTTTCTAGTTATTCATTCAGAATGTATTTCCAGTACTGGTGTAGAAATAGGTGTAACAGATCTGTCCTGAAGCTGCTTTGTTACTTCCCTGCATGGTCAGTGCTTTCCTTGGCTGGGGTCAGAGGAAAGAAACTTGGACTATGCATGAAGGAAAGCAGGGCTGCCTTCTTTGCCCTGCTCGTGTCAGCCTGCTCTGCAGCTCGGGGCATGGCTGACCATGCCCTCAGTGGTAAAACGTGCTGCCTGTTGTTCAACTTCTCCAGAACCATGTCTCTTGATCACATCCTGCCTTTTTTTTTTTCCAGCTGGCTGTCTAATAACGAGGCTGCTGCAGGCTTCAGCAGCGACATTTTTCTCCAGCTTCAGGAAAAGGTGGAGAGAGAGGAGCAGGCCTGCCGCTGCTGCGCCGTGCTGGTACAGGACGTGTCCCTGCAGAAGCAGCAGGAGTGGGACCCACGGAGCAAGCAGCTGTCGGGTTTTGTTGACTTGGGAGCAGGCATCCTTGATGCTGATGAAGCTCCACTGGCATCAGAAGCAATAGTCCTCATGGCAGTCGGCATCTCCAGCCCTTGGACAGCTCCCCTGGGCTATTTCTTGGTGAACAGCACATCTGGCCCCTTCCTTGCTCAGCTCCTCCGTCAGGCAATCCATAAGCTGAACAGCGTTGGGATCGTGGTGCTGGCTGTGACATCGGGGGCCTCTGCTCACGGTGCTGAGACTGCCAGAGCTTTGGGCATCAGGATAGATCCCAAAAGGACTCGGTGCACTTTCCAGCATCCACCTGGTTCTGCTCACAGCATCGCATACTTCTTTGATGTTCCTCATGCCCTCCTGCTGATAAGGAATGCTCTGCAGTGCTTCCACAGGGTGCAGTGGCTCGGTGACACCATGTGTTGGCAGCATGTGGTGGAGCTGGCAGCTTTGGGCGAGCAGAGGGTGTTGGAGCCGTGCAGTCCTGGGTCGGGCAGGGCTGGGAGTAAAGGGAGTTCCCACCTGAAGGTCAACCCTGCCTCCCTGCTGTTCAGCGAGGGTGTTGCTGAGGCCCTGGAGCACCTCCAGCAGCTGGGCCTCGCCTCGTTTCAGAGCTGCAGCAGGACTGCCAAGTTTGTGCGGCTGATGAGCTCCCTGTGTGATGTGTTTTATGGCAGAGGTCCCTATGGAAGGGAGCCTTTGTTAGCTGGGAATTACACCAAAATAAGCAACCTCTTCGATGAGGCCAGGAGCTGCTTTGTCAACTTAACAGACTCTGTGGGGAGATACATTACTAAGAGCAAACGCAAACTGGGATTTCTGAGCTTGTTGCTCAATGCTGAAAGCCTCAAGTGGCTTTCCTCCAACCACACATGTCTAAAAGGCACTCCTTCCCAGCACCTCCACACACATGCCTTCAGCCTGGACCCTCTGGAGCAGTTTCTCAGGGCTCTCCAGCAAGCCTGTGGCAGCAATGGCAGCCCCACCTGTGCTGTGTTCCAGGCTGCTTACCACAAACTGCTGGCCAGCTACAGCCTGGCCCCCAGCTCACCACCCAGCAGTGGCACTGCCAGCCCCTGGGACGTATCCCTGTCTCAGAGGAGAGCTCTAACTCTGGGCAGCATTCGTGCCCAGTATCACCCGGCTCCTGGGAGGCCTGTGGCCCCAGAGTTCCCCTACAGTGCAGGCCTGCTTTTGCCCAGCTGTGCCCTGAGCAATGCGCTGACAGATCTGTCACTGCACGCACAGAGCCTCACCTGCACGGCTGGCTGGGTGGCCGAGCAGCTGGCCTTGGGCTTGCAGTGTGAGCCTTGTCTTGCCTCTCTGTTTGAGGCAGATGAGAGCAGGCTAAGATGCAGGTCAGTGCTCTACATACAAAAGTTGGGTGGCCTGAGTCTGCCCTCGGCCAGTGTGCACCACATAACAAGCATTTCAGAGCAAGTCCTAAACCGGTATGGCAAAGTAGGAGGTGCCAACAACAATACCAAGCTGTGGCATTTGTGTCTAGAACAGAAAGTCTTCCAGGAGCTTCTGGGAGAAAGCCCCCTCTTTCCCACCCTCACAAAGCATTTATTTGAGGGGGAGCTGAGCATCAACAACCACTACACAGTCTTGGTAAAGGAAATAACACGGTGTTACTTAAACGTAAGAACACAGCCCACCCAACACCTGAATTTGAAATACCCTTGTGGACGGCACAAATTGAAGAGACTGAAGGGAAAGCATTTGTTTCCATCACCACTGGTTAGCTGTCAGTCAAGCTTAACCCACACATGGTCTTACTGAGTACTCTGTGGTTCCAGGAATGGCTGTTCCTTGCTGAGCTCAGTGCTGGACAGATCTAGGCAACACATGAGGAAACAATGCTGGCAAAACTAGTGCTGATAAGCACTGGTGTATTGGGCCACTGCAAACCTCCTAAGCAGAGTTTAACTGAGCAAAGCAAGGAGGTTTATCTGATCCCCTGTCCTTTCTAGCAGTCCTGCAGTATTTCATGAAACTTCATGGCAGGTCAGGATGAGCCAGGGTTGCTCCAGGTGCCTGGGGCACTGCAGTGTCCCTGGAAGTGCTGGGTGGTTTTAGTGCTGCAAGTACTCTTGCCAGAAGAAAACTGGTATTTTATGGGGTTGCAGGGAATCACATGCACTGGCACTTTGATCTCACCAAAAAGATGTGCTTTATAAAAGCTGGGGGCAGGAAAGCTTAAATAGGAAAATAAAGATGTGAGAAGCAAGTGGCACTCAAGCTGTACACAAGCTCTAATCTCCTTTCAATGTCCCATCAAACAGCTAAACATGCTGGTCCAGTCTAGATCCTCTGGATCAGTCCTAAGCCTGTACCAGAGTGTTGTGTCCAGTGGCATCCAGGAGCACCAAAAGCCTCCTCCAGGGGCAGGAATACATGGGTGTGCTGCAGCAGGGCAAGCATTTCAGTTCTCATTTCATAGCCCCATCCTCCCAGGGCTGGCCTGTGTCCTGCAGCCCAGGGCACATGGCACCCTCGTTTCAATGTTTCCACTGATCACTTGAAGCATAGCTTTGATACCACCAAACAGGAGAGGCTTCTTGAGGTAGTTCATTTCCATGGCAGGAAGCTATTCCAGTGCTTTGCCTGGAACAGCAGAGTTTGGCAGAACTGCTGCCAAGGGGTTTCCCTTTGCCATGCAGAACTGGAGTTGCATCCATAGAGATGGAAGGCAACTAATTCCCACAAAGCCCGCTGTTCAGTCACTTTCAAGATCCATGATGGAACTGGGATGAAAACTGGGGATCTGCCACATCCTAGGCAGTAATAATATTAAAGGTATCATTCTGCTTACCAGTGACTTGACAAAACTGTCCCTGGCTGGTTTGGGTTTCTCCTCCTTCCCTTAGTTCTGCTGCACCCAACCCCTCAAGCTCTGCTTTGAGAGCAGCAGCACCACAGGAATTCATACAATCACTGCTGGGAGGAACAAACCAGAACCTCTGGGCTTTTCTTTCCCCAGTCCAAATACCTATGCAAAAAACCACATTGAAGCCATCAGAGTCACAGAGCCATTCCAGCTGCAAGAGACTTTGCAGGAAATTATTCCCTCCCCTCTGTATGTGATTTTTGGGACAACATTTGGCAAAATGCTGCTGAAATCTCAGTGACAGATTGGTTGCAATCATGTAATGTTGGAGCACTTGCACTGTCTCCACCTCCAGCCCTAAGATGAGTAGTTATGAACTGTGCCATGGATTGCTGTGCATGACAGCACACCAGTAACCAAGGGATATTTATTTATCTCTGGTAGCATTTGGTCTCACACTGAAAATCCAAGTCAGCACTTGCATCAGAAGTGGACCTAGTATTAACAATTTATTTTGATATTTCAGTGACAAACCTGTGTATATTTGTCAGTGCTGAAGCAAAGGAGTGCAAAAAAATCATATTTACAGAATAGTATAAATGTTTATTTTTTGTGATTTATCTGACTGTTTTATTTGTACAATATAGAAAAGTGTATTCTTTGAATAGGTCTTGTAAATATAAATTTAATTTTTCTACTTTTGGATGTAAACAGAACTATAAAATGAATCCTTGCCCCATTCCCAATTATTTTTTATGTAACTGGATGAACTTGACTGTTAATCTTGTCCAGCAGTTTGATGCAAATGGCTAAGGAAGTACAAAAACCAATTCATACACTCTACACCAGGGAGAAGGGGGAGAGGAATCCAAGCTTAATATTTGAGAAAGCTTGTTCAAAACAAAATAGAAGAACTAAGAGCATTTGATTGCACCTTCAAAGTCTTTACAAGCAAAATATTCTCCAGCAATGCCATCATACATAATTACAACTGTAATCTGAATTTCACAAGTGCTTTTGCACACTGTATATAAATACACATCACAAAAGGTGCAATTTAGAGTAAGACACTGAATATATACAAAATTAACACAGATTGAAGTCTAAACAAAAGGCATATTGCAATCTGTTTGAAAAATAACGTAAGTAGGTATTACTTTATTCACTTACACTAATTTACATTTATACAAATCTTACTGGACAGACTATATTAGGTCACTAGAAGGGAACAGAATATCTGCACTATCTACAGGTAAAGTTACTGCACTGATTTTTTAGTAAATCCAAGTCCTAATAATGAAAAAATGTGGCATTTACTTACAGGAGAGGTGGTTTCCCGTTCCAGAGATTTGCACAAACATTGCTATTTGTGCTCAGGGAGATATCCTTAGCAAACAGAGCCCTTCAGGCAGGTCAGACCTGGTCTGTGAGCCCACCACTGCTGCTGACTGCCTCCCAAGCCCTTCATGCCTCCCAGGCATTTCAAGGAGGCACCAGGGAAGGGTCAAGGGCCTTCTGTGCAGTGCACAGGGCTGGGAGGTGAAGCATCCTCCCACCCTACTGCCTTCACACACAGAGGCACAAATCTCTGCTGCTGGTGTGCCTAGCCCCTACCTCTCCCCAGCCTGGCCCTGCATTTCTCTGTATTTACAGTTTTATAGAAGGAATGCAAAATCCCTTTTGGAAAAACATAGCAGTTCAGGCTGCAGTGAGACAGGTAATAAAAATGCCTGTGATTAAACATGGTTAATGGATGTTCATGATAGGTAAGTAACCCACCAGGTTAATTCTGCAAATGTGTTCCACTATCAAAAATGTGATATGATATTGCCTGTAACAAATACTGAAAAAAATCCCCTGCCTTAGTCTGTACCCAGCTATAGCTGATTGCCCCCCATTTAGTGTAAAAGGATTTGTGTCTGGTTTTGTAGCAATCCTGATTCTGTGCTAGTACTTTCTCTGATCACAGCTCTCACAATTATTCTAAGCAACACTAAAAGAGCCCTTATGCCAAGTAAATTGCCAACATGGAGAGCAGCAGCATCCTGAATACCCACAGCAGGCTGAACATGATCCCTACCTGCATTTGCAAGTCGATTCAGATGCAGATTGTCATCTCCAGTGACTTCAGCTTCTCAGGCCTAAACACTTTCCCAAGGTTACAGCTTGATCCTAGAAAACAAGGGACTGCACAGCCCTACTTCCAGTGAGGGATCAGGCTGCTGCAGACCTCTGAAAAACCAAGCTTCACCCAAACAACAACATCAATCTGCTACACACTTAGGTAACACTACACTGGGCAGACAGCCTGGCATTGTGGCATGCCTGCTCTTCCTCACTGCTGAGGACAGGCCACTCTCTTAGCCTTCAAGTTCCAGCTTAAGAAACACCTGAGCACTCTGCCCCATTCGTATCAAAAATTCCCTGTAATGCCATTCACCTCTATACTCCTTGGGCCCTGCTCCAGAAACATTCTCCACCACTTGCTCAGTGCTGTATCTGCAAGCAACCCCTCTGCATTATTGCCTATGCATCTCACAGTGCTCCATGCACTACAGGGACATGCTGTGTCAGGTCCTAAATACAAGTACTACTTTCCATTTAGATGCTTATTTCTACCTATTTCCTTTCAGAATTCTCTTGGATACACTGGTACCTCCATATTACAGGCCTGTCAGCAAAAGCATGACCTGGCTGTTGACATCACCTGTGTTTTCCTGTATGCACAGTGATGCAAATCCATACACTGTAAATAATATATATTATAATAATTTATATATGCCCTTCAGACAATTATTCTGGGGGAAAGGAGAGAACACATCTAATGTTTAAGAAACCCAGGGTAAAAGCTGTACATTGGGAAGAAGAACTGACTTTTAGGTATTGTCTGACATAGAAGAGGATTTAGCTAAGATTTAAAAGGCTCTACATCTTGTTATAAAAGAATTTCTCGTTTCAATCTTACATGGGTCAATTTACAACAAGCACCAAATTAACAAATATTATTAAATCCATCCTTTATGCTAAACCAAAGTGTCCCTGTGCCTTAAGTGTTCTGTTGAGTCCGCTTCATTGTGGCTCATGTGCACGAGTCAGCAGTTCATGGCACAAGGGTCACCTTTGGACTTCCCTGCAGAGCTGATAACCCTCATGAGACAGCGCCCAAACTCCTCCAGGATCATGCGCTCTGCCGCAGCTTTGGACTTGCCCGTCTTCTCCGCCTGCTCTGCCTGGGCCAGGAGGCATTCACAGGTTGCATCGGCCACCTCCTTGGTGACAAATGTGAAGGGCAGCCTGAAACAAAGCAACATCCACTTAGTGTCTGCAAAAACACAAAGGGACTAACTCCAGGGCTGGCAACTTTGTGGTGTGAGGACTGATGAGATTTCACCTGTCCTATTGCTTCCAAGGGCCTTTAGATAGTGAGTAAGCCTCAGTTACCAGCCAAAGGAACTGGTGGGGCAGAATCCCTACTGTTATAGGAACAAAGTGTTCCATTCACCTGACTGCTCCCACCTCTACAGCATACACAGACAAGGCTCAGAGATGACAGGGACATACCTGTCACACACATCAAACACAAAATTCAAAGAGGGTGCAGTATTAACTTACTTCCCACCACCACTGCTGAGTGCTGGTGCTGGCCTTGTCAGCAAGTCTGAGATCTGGGAAGATAACTTGGTCTTTGCAGCAGTCTGCTGCTGCACCCTGACCTCTGCAGCATCTGCTAAATGCATCAATGTCTTTCGCTCCGGGCTTTCTTCAAAATTTTTACAGCCAATGCATTTGCATATGGAAGAACACATGATTTTTGCCTGAAAGAAACAAACAAAACATAAGAAACCTGTTGCAAATTTGACTCCCCTTATGAGAAACCACAACAAAAAGGAGATCTTATTTTAATCTCTTACCAACTAACCACTAGAGCCAACTCTCAAGCAGTGGTCTTCTCTCTTAATTCTTACCTCAAGTTGAGATGTCCCAGATGTATACTTCAATCGAATCACAGAGCATAGAATGTAAATAAGTGGTTTCCCACTCAACCCTTTCTTCATCAACCTCCAGTTTCAGGTGTAATTTAGATAGCTGAGTTTTGAGAAAGGGCAGTCTTGTCTCTACACTGTCTCTACATTCACAGACTGATCAGTTAGCAGATGAAGTAATATTCTGCTTTTGAATTCCACAGACACATTCTATCCCACAGCATCTGTGGGATGCTGCTTTAACTCCTCCTAGGGACTTGGTACAGTAGATTTCTTTAGGAAATGGTGATATTCAGTAAAGAACAAATCCAAGCCTAAGTTCAAAGTTGCTAAATAGTTTAAAATTAAAATTACAGAACAGTAGCAATCAATTTTTCCATGTACATGGCTTTCTATGTGCAAACTTCTGGGAGAAGAGGTAACATTACAGGAATGGAAACAAACAGAAGAGAAAACATGATAGCAATACAAGGAAGAGACAAAGCAGAGAGAAGTCACCACACTAAAGGGGAAAAGCTGCTATTTTTCAAATGAGATAATGCTTCATACCTCATAACATTCGCAGTAGTTTTTGAGACATCCCGAGCGCTTACAGTTACACCCTTTGCTGTGCCTCCGATCCGATTCTCCCTCCTTTCCTTTCCCTATTTTGGGCTTGAAGGCTTCAGGGTTTCTGTCCAGGCAGGCCTGTCAATGCAGACCCAAAGGGTCAGTCATTGCATGCAGGGAGCAGAATTTAGAGGTGCAATAAAAGGACTTAAGCCTTGCACATGTGGGAGGAGATCAGGGCATTATACACCCACTCTGCCCCACTCTGGAGCTTCAGAAAAAAGAAACTAAATTACTTTGATCCCAGGGGGCAGGGGAAGAGGCCCCTCACCTTTATTGCTTTTTGCCTATCGTTTTCATGGTCCAGGTTGTTATAACAATTTGTACAGTTGCAGTTATTGCAGAATTCACCGTTTGCAAAACAGTCACAATACCTGAAACAGAAGATGCAGAAGGCATTTGTAAATATTGACCATTGCATTGGTGTGTGAGTATTGACTCCCACACTGCAGTACCAGAAGTCCTTACTCTGGCATCAATATGGGTAAGAGTCATCCTATGCTCAACTCCACACACACAAGCAGTACCAACCTCACTGCAGAGCCAAAATCCTCTCTAGTGCAAGTCTAGCTGCTGTCTAAAGACACAGGAGGAGCTCAAGGGTGTCCCCTGAGCTCATCACATAGCACAAGTCCCCCAAGCAGCCAGAAAAGTTAATGAGACTTTCTTCTGAGAGTGACTCTTGGGTCACCCACATATTGAGGCCCAGTCTGCTGCAGCCACCTTACAGCCAGCTCCTGAGCCAGTCAGCCCAAGCCAGGAGCCCTCATACAGCCAAAACAAAAGGCAAGCAATTGGAGTGACAGTTCAAAGGCAAACTAACCCAGAAAGGAGATTTTGTTGTTAGTTTTGCCCTTGAGCTGGGATGGAAGAAGAGAAAAGGGATAACAATTGGTACATCTCAGCAACCAGGGGAAGGATCTGAATGAGGATAAAGCAGACTTTTAAAAGGGACACATATATGAACAAAAGGCAGCAAAACATGGACAGGGAAAGCCAATCATGTTGCCATGCCTCTTATGTACCTCTGGTGCCTCCCATCAAAAACAATATCTCACCAATCCACAGACTCACAGATCTAATACATGGAAATTCCACATTCGTTCCCAGCTCAAACATGGCTTTAGGCCACAACAAACTCCAACATCTTTCAAAGCTTCCAGGACTACCACCAGCTAATAGCTAAAAACTGCTGATCCTCTTCACTTGCTTTGCAAATCCTGCTGGGGGTGTGTGGTCATTTTTTGAAGCCTAAACCCATTGCTAAACTGGCCTTCTGTGGCTTGCCCAGCCTAGCACGACGTAAATGAGATTAGGGCTGCCCTGGAGCTCACTGCAGCCCTTCATCAGGTTGAACTGGATTTTGGAGATTTTTAGCATCTTGAATGGTCCCAGAGACAAAACTAAATCAAAGCTTTTACAACCTGTAATAGCTCTCCTTTCTTTTTTAAAATTCAGTGGTAGAATAGTCCTGGTTTCCAAAAGAACCAGGGCCAGCATCAATCCAGAGAAAATAACTGAGTTGACTTCTTAGTAGAAAAGGCTATGTGCCTACCTTACATGAGCATTTGGGAAAAAATAAGTTCCCCTCCAGACAAAAAAAAAACGTTTTACTAGTGAGAAAGCACCTGTGCCAGAGTGAATTAACCATCTGCCCTGCACCAATGCCCAGAACATATAACATCAGTGAACAGTTTGCTTCCTAAGAGCATTCTGAAGGTGCAAATTATTCCCAGTGATGCCAGTTCCTCTCCCAGCATTCCTAGGGCACATTCAGGCACCAAAACCTAACCCCTACACCTCTAACATACATTGGGCACTGTGAGGTCAGTCATGTATGCAAAATATCTGAAAAACAGCCACACATCTTCTTGCTATGCAACACAGAAGTCTGAGACCAGGAAACACAGGACACACCTCCCCATACACAGGTGGGTGCACTATACAAAGACACCCAAGCTTGAAAGTTCAAACAAACTTCTTAACTTGGGTTCAGATGCCATTGCATCACTTCCCCTTCAAGTACCACACCCCTAATTTCCTCTTCATTGTCTAGGATTCAGGGAACCACAGATTAATTTCAGTATCTCCTCCCATTCCTGTCCCAGAAATATCCGTAAACTGACTCTGATCAAGGTGAAGAAACTCTCCTCAGCTCCAAATGCTTTTGTGTCAAATTCTTCCAAATACATGGAAAGGAACAGCACAATATGTCCTGGATAAGCAAGAGGTAGACCTATCAGTGAAGAATCACTTGTCTATTCTATCTTTTAATAAAATACACAAAGCCCAATTTTTCTGAAGTATTTGATCTAGGATGGTATTACTGATGCACTTCACCAAAGTACAGTAAATTCCCACAAATGATACCAAGAGATACCATTTCACTCATGGTACCAACAAGGCAACCAGAGTTGCTGAGTGGAATTGGCTCCACCATGCAATAAGGTACATTATGCAAAGTTAGACAATTTTTATGTTATGGTCCATATAGCTCACAAGAGCTGCAAAATGACACAGGCTCTGCAACAACTCCACCAATATCCACTTTAAATCAGCATCTAGACATAAAATTTCTGATGTACTTCAAACCATTATATTCTGATACTTGGTGCACATTTGTGATGTTAAAAATAAGGCTTAAAAGAAAAAAAAAACTGTACCAAGCTGTACTTACAATTTCAAACACAGAGACTTAGTACAATTGCAAGGCTTCCTGGGGCGGTTTGCAGACTCAGAAGAAATTATTCTGGGGGGAGAAAAGGGCATTTATATTTACAGTTTTATCAGTTTCTTCCTATTTTAAATTCATGTAAACAGCTCAAAATAAAAACTTTGAAAAAATCTTTCTATTCCCCTTGCATTAGATTTTTGGCTGACTGTGTTTAAGTAACTGTTATAAATAGTGCCTTTGCAACCCAGAAAGAGATGGATTATTTGCTGCAAATTTGGATGCATGCCTGAAGTAGAAATTAGGCTTTAAAGCTAGAGGAAGCATAACTAAAAACTGGAGTCAGGGAAACCTTCCCCAGAATCCCTTCAGTGGGACCAGATCCAACCAAAATTCATGCAACATGATTGTGCCTTTTCTTTTGTTCTCCTTGGAATTAAAAAAATCCAAGAAAACAAAAAAATACCCTCTCTGGAATAATGGGAAAGCAAGGCAAACCACAGTATTCAGTTTTCAGATAAATTCTATAGCAGACATGGTCTTTAACTGCTCCTAAGACTTGGATTTTGTGACACTAATCACATCTGATGAGATTTGTTCCATCCCTATGCAGCAATTTCTGCACGTAATACCAGGGAGATTAAATCAAACCCGTTCATTTGAATAGCTGCATCTGGATTTGGGATTAGTTTGCATCAGTTGAGGCTGCAGCAACAAAAAGCAACTTCATGTTCACAATTTCCAGCAAACAGTAACACAAAAGGACTGTGCAGAACAGCTAAGCCTGCTGGATTGGCAAAGGGAAAATAATATATGTTAGCTGTTATTTTCATCCTTAAAGGAAAAATGCAAGACTGAAAAAACCCAAAGCCTCCTATCAGGATCCATTTTGCTGTTTGGCTCAATTTCTGCATGTGTTAAGCATCTAGCTTATATGTTGTCCAGAACCTCTCTGCAGCAATATTGAGAAATAGTTGAGGCCTGTAGCTCACAGGTGCTGTTGCAAATAAAAAAAGAGCAACAGGGAGCTTTCAGGTCAACTTCCTGCTACATTAATTCAAAAAACAGAAAGGAGAACACAGCTTTGATCAAGAGACTGGCTCAAATGTCAGAGAGATCCACACCCTTCAGTCAGAGGTAATAATCACACCACAGCAGACTTGAGAATTTCCCAAACCAACCTCCAAGACCTCAGGCTTATTCAAGCAGCCTATTCTACAGGTTTTGGGATTTTTTTCAGAACTCTTACCCATTAAATGGCAGCCGTGCCTGGGACTGGACACTGGATGTCCCTGTGAAGCCAGTGTTGCTTGCTATGGATACATAGGATGACTGTTGGAGCTAACAAAACAAAAAGGTTAATGCTTGACATGAAAGAAATTATAAACAAGAGGATGTGTTGCTAGTATTTTAATTAACTTAATTAACTACAAAAATAACTTGCTTCTAAGAACACTTTTAGACACTTATAGAATTTGGACCAGGTGGCAACTTCCTGCCTCCATACTTAGGACAAAAATACTATTTTAGATTGTACTTTTTGTTGTCCATCACAGTGTCTAGATCCACACAGATGACAGGGATAACACACAGAAATGTTCAGACCACAAACAGCTCCTGTTCCTAAAAACATGCTCATTTTCCCCCTAAAAGAGCAGAATCACTTCCTGCACAAATTAGTAGCTTCCTTTATATACAAGCCACTTACTATGAAAGTAAGCAAAATGGTTTGCATTCCAACTCCTCTGCATACCTGAACCCACCATTTATTTTTCACATTAAAAAACCAAAATCTCATAAGAACCTGCCAAACAACACTGCTCTGGGCTACCTTCTTTAGCATTACCTACAAGCAGCTGTTTGCTCCTGCTGGGACAGGTTCTGGGGACATATTGGCACATGGCAAGATACAGACCTGCTGGGGCCAGGCAAATGGGGACAGGCTGTGACTGGAACACAAACCTCAGAGGAGAGGTCCAACAGACGCTAGTGTTAAGTAAAATTTGGAGATCTAGACTGGAAGGACACAGTAACAATCTTCAGGGTCACACTGCAACTGTGACAAAATCAAAAGGCAACCAGAAACCAGTCTGGTACCAGTAATGCCAGGAAATATCAGAGTCTTTGTTTCTTCAGTCTTCAGCAGAACATTTCATTTATTCCCTTTTCATCCTGGTCAGATCCTGGCAAAGAGCAAAAATCTAATCCCTAGGCCTCAGTTGGAGTGGTACCAGCTGCTTCTGACCCCTGGCAACGTGCTTAGCATTAACTAACACCATTTTATAATGAAGCAGCCATTCTCTGTGACCAAGCAGGTCACATATATGCTGCCTTTCTCCTCATCATCAGGCCCTGAAGGTCCTGTGAACCAAGCAGACAAAACAATAGGATTTCTTCCTCCTCTCCCTAGAGGTCCCAGGATTCCTGGTGGTGACTGTCAGGGACCAGGGAAGTGTAACAGCACACAGAGCAGTTATAAAATCAAGCTGTTCCAAGTCCTAAGTGACCTGTACTCTTTCATATGATTTTCAAGTCTAGGTTATGATTGCTAAAGTGATGAAGCAAACTGTTTATCAAGATCTGACCCAATATGCAGGGTCTAGGTGATTAGAAATTCCAAGCTGAGATCTAGGTGATTCAAGTAAGTTGGCATTATAAATTCTGTACACTACTCAAAATTGCACTACACTGATTCTGCCTACAGAAATGCTGTGCTATTATGCTAATAAAAACTCCTTTGAGAAAACAAAGCTTTAATTGCAACCATGATTGAAATTAAAGTGCCATCATCATTCTGCCAAGGGTCCCCCTAACAGAAACTGTTGCCTCAGTGTCAGGTGGCAGTCACAGAGCAGAAACCTTTAAGAGAAAGGCAGAATAATCCACAAGAGCAGCATTTACATAACCATCTCTGGGAAAGGCCATACCTGTGTGACATACTGAGCTGGAAGGACTGCATAGCCAACATTTCCTGTGCCAGGGGCTGGTGCCAGCACAGTGCCTGGGGGGAGGTTGGTGAGGTTGGGCTGGATCTGTGGCAGTGGAGTGGCTGGCATGATAAGTCTTTGCTGGGGCTGACTGGTAGTGACAATTTGAGAAGTTGAGTTGATTGGTTTGGGCACCACCTGGAGAGAAAAGAGCTCTTTATGAAATCAGTGTTTCAGTCATTCAGAACACACTTTGATTAGTAGAACAGTTCCTTACAGAGCTGGAAGCAGACTTTTCTCTGTGCAGCCAAATCAGGTCAGGACTATTACATGACTTAGAGCCAACTCACCTGTTTCACAGTCTGTGCTGGCACTATGGGAACTGACATCCGCACGGGGGTCGCGTTCACCACCACGGGCTTCGCTGGGGTCAAGAAACAACATCACATCAATGTGTGTTAGTCACTCCAAATCCACAGCTCAGCCCTTCAGACTGTCACATGTGCACAACACAGAGGTACTTAGCACTGAAACTCATGTCTACACCCAAGTGTTGCATGCCAACACCTTTGTAAACAGGTCTTTGGCACACATTTCACGGCAATGGATTAAAAAATCAGCCAGGGTGTAGACCTCCTCTGGACACTGGATTTCCCTTACATCCCTTTTCCCTTTGAAATCTTTTATCCCATCACCCCTCGTGGACAGAAACCAGCAAAAACACCTGACACTTCTAAAGCAATTTACATGGAAGGATCTTCATGTTACAGGAGTTTTGGCAATATGCTTGTGGGCTGTCCTGCCTTCGTGCTCTTCATATAGAGGAGATGGGAGAGGCCATGAAGCACCCACAAATCTGGTCAACTGGGGAAAAGCAACCTAAAATGCTCCCAGGATTCAGGCCCAACTACAGAGCAGTTTGACACAAAGGAGTGTTTTCACATACAGACCAGAGGTCTGCAACAGAATATGGAATTTATGGAAGTCTTACCACAAAACCAAGTACATCTGGCAGTCTTCACAGATCTCTGTTATGTATTCATTTTAATTGTTACAGAACAAACATGAAAGAAAAACCCAACAGAGGCTTCAGACAGTGTCCCCAGCAGCACTTACCCTGTTGCAGAGGCTGAGTATTCGTACTGGGATTTTGACTGGCAGATTGGGTTGAACTACTGGCTGTTGTGGCAGTAACGAGTCTGACATAATGGAACTTGCTCCCAGGTACCTGAATCTGCTGAACATTGGGTGCAGTTGCCAAGGGAATAATTGTCTTAAATTGAGATGTACCCACTCCTCCTACAGTAATGGTCTGCACTGCTGATTTCACAGCCTGTTAAGCCAACACAGAGAGCACAAAGTTACTTGTACAAAGGCAGAAAGAACATCAATGTGTTTATTTCTCAATTTGTCAGTGAGCAACTCTAGCATATCATTTGCACCCTTGAGAGGGAAGACAGTTACCCTCTTTTTGCTTCCAAAAGTAAAACAGATGCAGAGATTAAATGCCTGCCAACATCTCAGAGTAAACTCAGTTCCATTTTCAATGCTCTACACCAAACACCAGAGTAAACTAGTATTTACATGAGTAGGGTGACTCAGGCCACTTCACAAGATACAACATCTGCCAAAACTATTTCCAGTGCCTACAAGAGAACATGGCTCGGTTTGTCTTCCACAATCAAACAACCAAACATAGAAATATTCCTGTTATTAAAAGCACATGGTAAGAACTTGCAGAACAGTTTGTCTGAACTGCATCATAATTTATCTGCATATGTACAGATATGTCCTGTTAAGAAAGTTGGTAATTAATCCATAGAAATCCCTGTGCAACCCTTGTGAGGAAAAGGGAACAGAATCCATAACTGATGGACATCAGAAAGAGTACAAGCTGAGAAATGAAAGAAGCAAGAACAATGAGAAATAGCAAAACAAATTCATTAAGAAAAAAGGCAAAATGCTGAAAGAAAGGGAGCTCAGCAGACCTGTGCTACCTTACAGCTTGAATCTGCAAAATTTCACCTTTCCAACTTTTCTCAAACTACAAACTAATAACAAGAAAGTTTAACTTCATTTAAACACATTCATAAGTCTACTGGTTTGATAGCAGCCTCTTTTACCAGACCAGCTCAACCTCAAACCTTGATTTGTTCCTTTTCCTGCTTCCATTTAACTTTTTATTAGAGCTCAGGTTTTTGTTCTCAGTATCATTTACTGTTGGTATAAAGCATTACTAGTGGTCCTTGACATCAAGTTAAAGTATTACGCTTGGTTGTCAGTATGATGTGAATTCTTATGAGAACATTTTCCCAGCTGCCCAGTTTTCAGCAACTACAGAAATGAAATCTCAGTTTGCACACATTTCACTAGAAAAACAACCCTGCTCTTCTAAAAGATGTTTTCTTGGGATGTTTTATTTTTCTTAAGACATTTTATACTTTAACAAGCCAGAGCATCAAAATAAGCACTATGTGCAAGCATGGTCACAGACATTGTCAAAGGGAGACCTGTTCTCTCTAGCACACAAACGAGCAGCTGCTATCCAAGGACAACTGGGAAAATTGTCAAATTCAAGGGACAGCTCTCTTCTAAAGGCATGTTCTTGAGCCCAGTGAAGACAGGTGAAGCCCTTGAGTTGTGTCAGATAGCTTTGCAACAGAACTCCCACAGATATCTCCATTTTTTCATTTAGGGTGCTTGCATTAGAGAGACTTAACCTTTTAACAACTATTTCAGAAGACAATTTTCTCTGAGCAAAAAAACAGTTCAAATCTCTGTGGTGTCCATACTCCCATATCAGTATTCCAATTATTTCCTGCATCAGTAAGATAAAACTGGGAAAATCTGTCTGAGTGTCTGGTCTCGTGTTGTACATGTGTGTCCACTCCCTGCTATATCCATACTCTGGATATATTTACACCCATTCACATCCCTTCATGTTTACCACAACAAGAGTACAGATATTGCAATAGAAAAAGATTTACCTAAGATCACAAAAGAGGAAAACAGCAAAAACTGTCATTTGTAAGAAAGGTCAGTTTTGTCTTGTGATTAATTAATGCAAAACTATTTATAAAAGCTATTATGGAAAAGCCCAATTTTCTAGAAATGAGACATGGGAAATAAATAATTTCTGGTTCTGTAGCCCAGACCTCTACAGCAGGAATGTGAACTCCAGTGCTGCAAACCTCAGAAATACCTGGAAAGCAGTCCTAGGCAGTGGCATAGAAACATTGGCAGAAGAGAAAGAATCCCCCAAAGAACTCCTCCTCGTGTCACAGAGTTCTTCATGTGACTTGGGAGATTCAGCAGACAGAAACAAGGATTTGCACCAAGTGGGGCTTTCCAGACTGGAAAGCTACTGTCTAATAGGACACCCTTTTATGGGCTTGCACTGGTTTGCAGACCTCAGCTGAAGAAGTACATTATATATCCACTCCTTGGGGCATTGCTTCTGCCAGTTCCTAAGCAGACACCATCCCAAGAACAGCGGCGGACAGAGCGCTGCCGAGCCGTGCTCCAACACTGCAGTTCCCAGCAAGCAATGACACAGACACAGCAGAAGACAAAGCAAAGTCAGTCTGTACCTGGGTGGTTGTGTGGTTGACTATGGCTTTCCCAGGGGAGGAGGGTGCTGACTGCTGCACTGTGAGGATCTGCTGTCCTAACGCTACATTCAGTGGGACGCCCACCGTCTTCTGGGGGGAGCTGGGAGGCTGGGAGGCCACTGACACCACTGTTAGCTGCTTGGCAAAACAAAAAGCAGTTTAAACCTCTGTGCAGGATACAGGGCCCTGTACACACACATTCCCCTCCTCAGGACAGCACAGCTCTCCACCAGAACAGAGCTCTTTCTGTGAACAAAGGTCCTGCATTTAACCACAACTCACACGGGTCCAGCCGTAACAACAGAGCCCTTAGAACCTTGAAGGCATCACTGGTTTGCAGCACCAACAGGCTCCTGCAGAAACCTAGCATGGCATCTGGGTGGGAGTAAGGGGTTGTCTTTCCATTTGTTTTGTCAGGTTTTTAAAGGAAATTATCCTATTAAAGCCTGAGCATTGTCAAGAGGGATCTTCTAAATAAAGACATCATAATTGGTACAATGACTATTTCATAATAAATAGAAATTTTAAAGAAAAGCTGTTCAAAAGAAAAGAAAATTCTCACCTCACACTACTGAATCAGTCAAGGTATAAGAACATCAGTACTTTCAAATCTACACTGCAGTTTCCCAGAGATCCAGTCTTCTGACATTTCTGCAGAGTGCAGTGTTTATAAACACTCTATATAACCACACCCTTTCCAAGGCTGGTTTTCTACTTTTTGTTCTCAACTTCCTAATGTTTTAAGAAAAATCAGATACTTAGAATTGCTTATTAACAGTAAATTCAAGATGAAACCCTAAAGAGTCTTTTCACACCCGCTCCTAGGTAAAAAAGTAACTTTAGAATAAAAATTAACTTCTTTATGTTGCTTCTCTTACTAATAACTGTCAAACACAAGTCTTTTACTCCATCTGTATAACATTACAACACTAAAGCACAGCCAAACGAAAATAATTCTTTATTCTTAATTTGCTTTTTATTCATGATATTTCAGTTTGCCTGCACTGTGCATCTTGTCCCTCTATCTCCGTTTCTTCAACAATATTCCTCTTCTCAAGACAATTATCAAATCTGAAACACAAGTGTCACCTTGACCTGTGCCAATCTCCAGCTCTGTGCAAGGACCACTGCAAACTTCATTTACTTCACAAATGATCAGGGAAGACTAAATTGCCTGTGCAGTAGCAGGAATGGTTAATAAGTGCTGACCTATTAATATTATTGAGGTCTCCTCTTGAACAGCCTGTTGATGTTTTATGAAGGCATTAAAAATAGTCTGAGTGCTTGGCTAAGAGGGAACAGCTGCTCTCAGAATCAATGCTTAGGGAATGGCAAGAACTGGCAGGAATTGGAAACTATGCAGTAATGCATATCTGCTTAAAACCATAGTAATGGAGCCAGTTGAAAAAAATCTAAATTAGGGCATTACCACAGAGCATTGTGATGCAAAATGGAGACTCTGGAGATATTTTTATGGACTCTGGAGACATGCTTATTATGTCTGGAGAGAAAATAAACAGCTTGTAGCATAGACACAGAGAGCTCCATTCAGACCACTGTGCAGGAGGGATAGAAGGCTGCAGCCAGAACAGGTCCTTACCTTGTTGGGGGATTTGAGTGGTGAGATAGCTATTTTATTCGGTGTCTGTTGTGTTGTTGTACTCAAAGATGATCCAATGACTCCACTCTCAGAGATGGTTATTGTCTTTGGTGGTGTCCCTGGAGCAGACTGTGAAAAAACCCTACCTATAAACAATGAAGATACCATCAGCTCCAGTTATCCCTGGTCACAGTCACTTTTAAAGCAAAGTTTTCCCTGCCATTTGTGCAATTTATCCCTACTTCTGAGAGTGTATGACCTGACAGGAAGGACACTGGCACTCTTTAATTTAGATTTAGCAACAAAGAAGAAAATAATTGCTGCTATTACAAACAAAAAGACCATTTGCTCAGGCTTAAAAAAAGAGCCGAAATGGACATTGAGCTTTCTGTGCCATTCAGCTGACAATTGCTGACAGCCAGAAGAGCATCCTGAGGAGCAGAGCTCTCCAGTACACCTGCACCACACAGACCCCCAGCCAGCTGGCAGCTTCCTGGGAAAGCCCTGGGCTGCTGCCAATGCCCAGAGAAACTGAGCATTGGTGGGGGACTACTTCCTTTGCAACCTCAGCCATCAAACACCAGTTGGGTTACAGCGACCAAGAAAAAGAGGTTTGGTCTGTCTACAATCAGCTCTGAGGTTTTTGGGTTTTTTCTCTGTTGATGGTTGCCTCTTTCACTGCCTAACCGTTTTTAGTCACACTACCACCCATGTTTTCATGTGTGTGTCATATACTCTCTCTCTCTTTACAATGCCAAAGAAGATTAAACATCAAAAACAGAAGCTCCACATCATGACATCAGTTTCAGGAATATTGCAAACTCCCAGAATGGAAAACAGATTTTTTTTTCCCATACTTTCTAAGTTTCTTTCCAAAGAATGCTTGACCACTGAGCTTTCCTCTGCTCCACTTTGGTTCAGACTCATTTCTGTCATAGCTTCTGTCACCCATTCTCTTGTACTACATTTATAAAAATAAGAAACAAACAAATACCAGCATAACTTTTCCATCCAAAATCAACTGGTGGCATAACAATTAAAGTCAACTGGAACTAACAAGAAAAAGCACTATCCTCATGGCAAGCTGATTTCCTCTGCAGTCTGTGTGCTCTAAAATAACCACTTTTGTGCAGTCTAATTAACAGCACAGATAGTTGCCAGCAGCTGCTAAAGCCACATGCAACCTGAAGAATGTCATTCTGTGGGGAAAAAAAAACATCTAGAGGTTTCAATCCTTTGAGTTATTTTCTTGATGACAGCTTTCCCCTTCTCACTGCATCTCCTTCTTAGCATCAGCTTCCAAAGAGAATCTGGTTGCTGATACTGACAAGTCTTTCCAGATTACAACTTCCATCTCAGTTTGCAGGAATTTCCAGGCAATTAAAAATATTTATCACATTCATGAAAACATGTATAAAAAAAATCAAAACACAAACACAAATGTTACACCTTCTCTAAAGTGATGCCAGCCTCTCAAAGCTGGCAAGCTGTGCTGGCTGTTTGGAATGGTGAGAGAAAAACTAATATTAAAGATTTCACTCTCAATTAATGAAGCAACTTTACCTCCCAGTGATAGTTTTAGTGATGGCTCAGGCACAGGTGATTTTTCAAAATACTGATTTAAAAACTTCAAGTCATTTTTCATGGTTTTGGGTTGGGCTGTTTGTTTGGATTGTTTTTTTAAACACACAAACAACTCAATCCAAGTATTTATAAGCATAGCAATCTTCTTACAGGTCTATATATTTGGTAGGGAATTTGAGAAATTTGGGGAGTGGGATAGGGAATTGCTCTTTCACCTGAAACACATGTCAGGCTACAGGCTGCCTGCCAACTCAAGAAAAAGATCATGTCCCAGCTCTGTGCCATTCGCTGGCATCTATCAGTGTTCTGAATAAAGGAGACAGCTGCATCCTTCTTAAAACCAACTCAAGTCCCAGTGCTGTAAAGACTTAACAAATTTGTTAAAATACCTGGAAGAGATTTTAGGCCTACTTAGACTGATAAATCTGTAAGCAGTGAGACATCCTTCAAAGCTCTAATGATGAACCCAGCTTCCTACATTTATCTTTTTCAGAAAAATTAGATGCCTAAGATGTTTACCAACAGATACACTGCCATTATAAACAAGGTATTACACTGTGGTTTTTTTCTCTAATTTTGTTGGTGCTTTTGCTGTTGTTCTGTGGTCAGTTGGGCTTTTATTTTTTATAAGGATATACAGAGTTGTTTTCCAAAGGGAAAGACCATTTGTTATTTGCCTTAATTACTTTCCTAGACACTTCTGCCATGGTTATTTTTGAAGTAGGTGAGCAAGTTAACAAAAACAACACAGCTTTATTCACTTTCTTCAAACATTTTTTCTATTACTTGCATGTATTACATTTAAGTCCAACTATAAGCAGATTAAAGTAATGCAAAAGCATGTGTCTCCCTTTCCCCTTGTGTATTTATAAAATGTTTCTGAAAATACTTTCTGTTCATCAAGTAATCTTTTCTGTGGCTCTGGAGTATTTTTTTCCCCTCCCCAAAATTCATGAAGAAAAAGTACCTTGCAGTAAAAGCAACTCTACAATTACCAAGATTATTCTAAATGAGCATAAAGGTACCAACAGCTGCATTTATCTGCTTCTACCAAAAAAGTTCTCTGATTTTTGTTTTGAATTGCTTGAGGCACTTTGACAGAAACTACAGTAAAAGTGTTGAGACAGAAGAATTTCTACAACTACCATTTCTTTGAAAAGCCTTTAAAAAATGGCAAAGCAAAACAAGTCAAAGTAGTACAACCTGCAATGACTGGTGACACTTGAGTGGTCTGCCCTGTAACAGCTTTGCTATTGATTGGTTTTGCAAATATCAGCTTGGTGATCACCGGGCCAGAAGTTGGGGTTCGAGTCTTCTTCGCAATCTAAAAGATGGAGGAAAAAAAATCTAAAGTAACTTGAGCATTTTGGATCTAAATTATCGTATTGTTAAGTACATTAAAAAATAAAAAGGGCAATACTTGCACACATAATTAGAATCTTGCATTTTATCTCCACTTCTCCTTATGGCAAGAACTAGGAGATTATCCTTGACACTTCAGAATGCCAGCTATCAAAGCAGGATAGCCAAATCCCTCTCAGCTTTTTCAGAAGATAGCTCTCTGTGCAAATATCTCATCTTCAAGATGCTGAAATTATTTCTTACGTATGGTTGGTCTATATAAAAACGTCAAAATTAAATGCACAACTCTCAGTATTCGAAGCTTTAAATGAAGTCACTTGATTTTCAACCCACCAGGACAAAACTTGTCCCCAGTGATTTAAATATGACCACTACTGCTCTGAAACCTCTCTTGACCATGTGACATAGCAGCACACTTGTTTTGCAAATGGGGAAAATGCTTTCTGCAACAGTTTCCCAAAAGTACATGGATCATCAGTGCCTAAAAGTTTTGAGTACTCACTAGCCAAGAACAAATCAGTTGGCTACCTCCAGGTAAATGGGGATCTATTTTCATACTGCAATCCAATCTCCTGAAATGCAGCTGGACCAAGAACATGTGCAGCAATTCAATGACAGATCACTTCAGCTTGAAATCTTCATAAGCAGGAGTATATAGTCTGAAAAGTTTTAAAGAAGACTTTTCTCCCCTTCCACACTGAGAGAAGTTAACTACCAGCTGCATTTATTCCAACAGTTTTTATACATTGGCACCCAGCTAGTGAATAGCTCAATTTAGAGGCTGACTTTTTCCAAAGACTTTTAACCTGCTGGCTGCAGGGGCTGCCTGTGGATGTGGCCTGAGTCAATGTGAGGAAGGCTGAGTGCTCACATTTACTGAAGAAGCCCTTACAGCTGCCCACCCTACAGGTGAGACACATCCTGCCTCTCCTGCACCACATCCCATAGGCACCAGCCTTCAACTCCAGCAATATCAGAGAGGCACCACATTAACATCCATGTGGGGAGCCACCTTTCTTATTCAAGCAGCTAAATCAGAAATCTGCCTGATGTGATCAGAAATCTCTGATGATACAGAGCTGACAGCTACTTTCGACAGCCTGAGACAGTTACAAATGCTCAAATGAAGCAACTGAGTAGGCTGGGAGTTATGGTTTCCTCCACAAAACCCTATCTATAGAATTTGTTGCCTGAAAACACCTTTTTTTACAACTACATAAGGCAAAAACATTCAAAGTATTCAGGAGCACATAACAAATTCCTCAGCTGCTCCACAAAAAGCACACGTGAGGCTGCCCCAGCTCCCAGCAGCACAGTCATGGCACAGCCAGGGAAGCTGCAGCTCCCTCTGCTATGGCACTGGAGCCCTCCAGGCTGCAGTGGAAAGCCAAGGGCACCTCTGTGTGCCCGAGCTACACCTGGCCAGGGAAGCCAGCAAGGAGCAGCTCTGACACCAGGCACCACCAGAGAATGGATCTCAGTTAAAGGAAACCATGTGCTGCTCCACAGTTACACTACAAGTGCTTCTCAGAGGAAAGCTCCATCTCAGAACAAATATGCTGCTCCTCAGGCACAGGAGGTGCTTTATGGGGGATATACAATTGTCAAGGTGCTAAAATGAAACAGAGGAGAAATAAACCTGTTCTTTTTGGAAATACATTAACTAAAACTGTTAAACATAAGTTGTTTGAAGAAGGAAATTTCATTTGTAGCCCTGCTCATAAATTTAACTCAAAGCCATTTTTAAATCTCAAGGATTCAATTACCTTAGCACATACGCAGCTGATAGATGATCAGGCATTTTATCCGTAATTTTTTTTCTCAGCTTGGACACGCTTTAATTTCTGTTCAATTCTACACCTTTCATCTGCTTGATTTGAGATTTCTGTTTTAAATTAATCTTACCCTGCCATAAGGTATTATTGCAACTCAACTGCTATTGCTTTTTCTCTGAAGTGAGAGCTAAGTCTGGCTCAGAACATGAGGATTCAGCAGGAACAGCCAGCTCTGGATAACAGCAGTTGTTTCCCAGTAACAGTCAATAAATGTGCTTAAATGACTTACATGAATGTGTGTAAAATACTACTGACCATTAACATGAAGTATTTCAGAAAAAAACTTAAAAATTCTAAAATAACATGTCAACACAAGTAACCCTGCTTCCCTCAAACTCGACTTGCAGTATCCTCCTCAAATAAATTTTCCCCTGCTTTTTAGGTGAACCGTTTGCCTACAAAGAGGGAGATCTAATAAGCAAGTGAATCCCCTTGGGGCTTAGGAAACAGCAAGACAAATGTGGTTGGTTATAAATGAGGAACAGCACTCCTGGCCCTACCTGCTGCCAAGCAAGCATTTCTGAGGTTTATGGCATGGAATAACCCCAGCTACCAGGGAGAAGCCTCTTGGCACCACTGGGAAACTCGCTGCCCATTTCAGTAAAGACTGGAGAAGCCAGAGGAAATAATCAAGATGCCCTTTGGTACTTCAGAATGGACAAGTTCTCTGGAGCACTCTGCCATTGCCTGTACTGATCACAAGGAGCTTGGCATTATTCCCCTGCCTATGTAAGCTAAGCATGCCCTCTGCAAGTTACTTTGAGTGACATATTCCCTGGAGCAACAAGCTCTTCTGTAGCAATGTTATTATATTTAGGAGCACACACCAGCCTTCCTTCCCCTACAGAAGTCAAGAGATTTCCCTGCAGGCAACTTGACTTCAAGGGTCAAGTTCTGTCTTCCTCAACGCTCTTCACTAAAGATGAACTAGCAAGTTCATATGGCTGGACTTTGTTTTCAGACTCTGTTCTATTTATACAGGCACACTCATACCTCATATTTACAGCTTGGATATCCACAGTCAGCTACCACAAAGGAGCTAATACACTATAAATCCACTCCCTGGATGACCTGTTGGGACCCTGTCCATGTACCCACTCTGTGTCATTTATATTGACATAGCATGAAAAATCAGGGACTCTAGAAATAGAAAAGAGCATCTGAACTTCAGAGATGAAGAAACTGAGCTAGGAATGGGAGTTTGGGGTAAGGGAGTGCACAAGATCCCTTTTCAATGATGAAATAAAGCCACCAAGATGGCTTAGCAGCTGCCTTGCCATGGTAGCAACAATGCTATGGACACTGTTAAAACCAGAACCAGTTACCACACAAAACAAGCACAAAGCAGACTTAACAGGAGCCAGGGTGATATGCCTGGACATCTGGCTCAGGGTCGTGGCAAGGCCAAACTCCTGCTTCATAAACCTGGACTAAAGCAGCAGTGCAGCAGGCACACCACCACTCTTAAGGCTGGAGGCAGGCAGGAGCCACAGGCTGAAAGCAGGATGTACTTGCCCAGCAGTTTTTTTCCACGCATTTGGGGCACCAATTTCAGCTAAATCAGGACAAGCTGCTATAAGGACAGTAATTAACCTCTGGGTATAGATGAGGCCAAAGGCCCTGCCACAATTAACACCTCACAGTCTCATGCATCCAGAACTGTAAGCAGAGGAGTCAAATTCCAAGAAACATTTTGCTGAATTCTACCAATTATGCCTCAGGTGCTGAGACTTCAACTTCACAATTAGATTACAAGATTAGATTAGATGTCAAGGCAATTGAGTGTCTCTAATGATATACAAAGCCTTTATGGCAGTGATCACAAGAACTGATAAGAGCTTTTTGTCATCTAACCTGTACCAGTTCATTCTCAGCACCAAGTCCAAGTCCTGTGCTGCCCTCCATCTGAAACAGCTGATTCACAAGAGATAAATTACAGGAGACCCACAGGGAGTCAGGGAGGCATTCACAGCCTCCTTTTCCACTCACTGAAGGTGTAAGGGGCTCGTTCAGGGTGATGGGCAAAAGAAGCACTTCATTTTCTAAGACAGGGACTCAGGGTGTGGGTTACCTCCCCTGTTATTCAGGGTAGAGCAGAGCCAGAATCTCTCACCCAGCCTTATATGTCACTCTGATACTTCAGAAATTCTCTGCAGGGAAAAGCACTGTCTATGAAGTGCTAATGCAATCATTTCCCCTGCAATATCGGGTGCTAACCTTGTCTTCTTGCTTTTCATTTCTACTTCCTCCTCTCCTTGTGGGAAAAAAGGAACGTCAAGTGCTAACAATTCAATCTGTTTTGCAAAGGGAACCAATGGCTTAACAAAAAGAAACCACAACAAAACAAATTTACCCAAACTGCAATTAACTAGATTTAAAAACGGATGCAAGTCCATTAGTAAGAGCTTCTGCTAAGGAATGTGTGGAATTCCCAATGGCAAATTGAAGGGGTTGATGGCCAAGCCACTGATTTCAGTCACTGACAGCACAAATCATCTCATGCAAGGAAAAGCCACATCACAGCTAAGTTGTTCTCCCCAGTTTCCTGTACCTGTCACTTGGCAGTGAATAATGAAGCCAAATAACAGGAACTGATCTGCTCTTAAAGGTTCCTATGATGACTGAAGTGCAGAGACTTTCCTGAAAACCATAGTGACAATCATTTATGTTTCAAATGGCCATTATTAAATATGTTTCCAGGTATGATGTAGCAACAAAAAAGAAGAAAGTAGAAATTGGTAAAGGAATCATCTGCAACTTTAAAGAAAATATTCAGAATTGATCTTATTCACCTGCCATGAAATACTAATCAAGGAACATTTGGCTAATAAAATTCTTTAAACTTTGTCATTTTTATGTGCAGCTGATTATTTTTAATACTCAGCTTTTTATTATTTTTATTAATTTTAATAATAAAATTAAACTCTTAAGCATACTTAAGAGTTTAATTTCTCATTTTATTTAGACAGTAAAATAAATATTTTTCCATCATACCCTGCATTGAGTTCTACTTGTCCTTCACTTTAAGAAGTCTTATTTTTTATTATTTCTGCCTCACTGCAGAAAGGAAGAAGGAAGTCGCTCACATTTAGTTCTGCCACATAACAGATGAGAATCAGACCCTTTGGGTCATAACCCAAGTCTTTTCAACACATTTTCAGATCCAAGCAGATTCTCTGTGGTTTCAAATATCTCAAGATCCATGCCAGAGATTGGGAACAAAACCTTGAATGTTCAGCTTTAGATAACTAGATTTGAGGCAGACAAGATACACTCTTCTGTTCTGTTTCAGATGCTAGAAGTTTTTATCAGAGAATTTATTTAAACAAATTGAATGTAATAGGCAGAAGCTACTCTTCCATAAAGGAGTGTATACTTTGAATAAACAACAACAGGCATATAAAGTTGAATTCAGTCTTCCTGCAAGTATGTAGAATTTATTTTTGTAAAATGAAAATAATGAGGAAATTATCTACTGAATAGTTCACTTTGTCTGAGGCAAACCCTAAGTTTCTAGACAGTAGCTAGAGGCAAACAGCATAAAATGGCAAACGCATCCACAGATGAAAGCATGGGCTAAGAGCAGCATTGTATTTTTTAAATACAAAGAATAAATGCAAAGGTTGAAAGCAACAGTGTGTCAATCGGTGCAGGCAACAGACAACAATTGCAGCAACAGAACTGGTTTGAAGACGTTTCATCAGCATAACTCATTTTACCTGTACTGTTTTTACTTGCTGGGACTGCAAGACAGAGGGCTGGGCCGCAGTGTTTATCAGCTGACTCCCCTGCGTCAAAGCTGAGACACCCACAACAGGTTTCACTTCTGACCGACCTCCAATGACAACTTTGATCTGCTGGCCTTGTACCTTGGAGTCTCCAGCCTGGGCTTGGGACACGGCCTTCTGCGACTGCGGGAGCTGGCTGTGGGGTAATGCTAAGACAATGGGCTGGCCAGACTTGCCCAAAGTTGTTACAATCAGCTTTTGCCCGTCCGGTTTAATACTCTGACTGCCTATTTTAATATCAGTGGCCTTGTTCAGAATAATCTGATTAGCTGAGATAGTGACAGGGGTCTGAGCACCAAGTTTATGGAGGCCACCTGGAAAGGCAGGCTTTACAGCTGCATTCACATCAGGGCTTGGGGTTGTGGTGGTGGTCAGTGCTGCATCTCCCGAGTGGCTGCTGGGCGCAGGAACCGATTCCGTGGTGACTGTGGCTGTGGTGGTGGCTGAGGAGTCGCTGGTGGTGCTTATGTTCACTATTTCTTCCAGTTCTGTTTCCATGGGAATGGACTCTCCCCCCATGGGCGACGACACGATAACAGCCTTGATGCTGTCGTCCTCCACCAGAGTTATGCCGGTGTCCATGATTTCCTCAGGGAGCAAGCTGTTCACTTCTGCTGAAACCACCTCCATTTTAGTAGCTGTGGCAGTGATGGCCGGAGCAGGTACTGCAATATTTTAAAAAGTTATTGGCTTCCAGAAAACACATCTTTTCAAAGTTTTATGAATAATATTATCAAAGAAGAAAATGTAGTCAATTTTTTTCATACTGAAAGTATTGTGCATGCACAGGAGGGTTATCACGGGAAAAAAACCCTGTCATCAAAATGTGACACACCAAGCTGAATTTAGTCTCTGTAATAACTTATATCAAACCTTTACAATATCATTCACTGAAGTAAAATAAAGGCATTACCAGTCCGCTCTTCATACTCTAGTACACAAAGAAGCAGTATTTCCCCTCTGAAAATATGGGCACAGACATTTAAACTCACTGAAGTATAAAGCAAGAGTTAAACAGCTTTAAAAAAATCTAATAGATGATGATGTATTTTCATACATGCCAACATTGATTACCAGGTTATGTTTCTCAAGAGACTTGTTATCCATACCAGATGTGACATTCTTGTCAAATTTTCTTTTTGGAAATCTCAGAAAAACAAATGACTGTTTAGTGATGGACTTAAACAACCCCAAAAGGTCAATCAACAGCCACCTATCACAGGATCAAGCTAAAGCCTTGCCACTCACAAGATGAAGAGATAATCCCTTGATGCTGGCTATGAAAAGAAGAGCTCAGTAATTTTTTTTACTTCAATACTCACCAGAAAATATAACACACAAATTCATTATTAATTTGAAAGGTGTTCTAAACACAAACACTGTATGAAAATAAAAGGCATTTTATAAGAGCACCCAAATTATATATTAAACAAACCCCTGCAGTGAGATTCAAAGCCAGAGTCACTTCCACTTGAGAAACCTTACGGACATTGCTGGAAATGGCCACACTGGACCATTCCCCTAAAGCTGTATCAGTATCAAGAGTCTGAGAACAGACCAGCTCCATGAGGCATTTTCTGCACTTGCTGACCCCAGGAGCACACTTGGGCCCTGGGTGAGCACACCCTGTGGGTCTGCCTACATGCTCCTGAGTACTAATTATAAGCTCAAGGGGACAAAACCCTTGCAAATTCTGTTTCCTACTTGCTAGGAAAAGCAGAGCTGACTTTTAATACTAATTCATGAGGAAGCATGCCAGTGAAAACACTGACCAAATGCGGGGGTGACATTATTTCCTCTGGAGTTGTTGTGGAGTTTTGTAGAGCAGCTAACTACAGAACAGCTGCATTTCACCCACAAGGTGGAAGGACTGGGGGAAAAAGCCCTGCTAGAATGACAGTGTTTCCATGCTGAGCTCCAGAGATTATGCTGGAACAGTCCTGGCCTCACTGATTGCCAAGGGTGCCACTCTGACCCCCCTCACCTCAGAGTGCCAGCCAGACCAAGCTGCCCTGACACTCAAGAAGCCTGAGCTCTGAAAGAACTGCACTGACCCTCAAACTCAGGGCTCACTTATTGGCAGGCATTTAAAGATACAAAGTTATCTGATGTCACTGCCAGAAATACCTCCTGTGGAAAGCATTTGTCCCCCAGTAACGCCTGCACAGGGATGCCAGCCCTGGTAAGCAGCCCTAGACAAAACAGTCAGCTCTGAGGGACACATTAGTAATAGCATCATATTGCTGCCTAAAGTCAAATAGGTTAACTGCACAGATGATTACTCAAAAGTAGACTGTTTGTGAAGACAGCATATGTTAAGGTCACTAGGTCTTCTGAGCTGTGTCACTTGACTGTCACCTCAGCAACTTGCAAAGGCTTGCGGCTCAGATATTAAAACTTCAAACTATTTCAGGTTTGTTTTTGAACAAAAAAAAATAAACCTCAAACCAAAGCATCATCCTGTTCTATACTGATATGCACACAGGGCTTGAATCCAGAAGTTAAGACTTCTAGTGTCAAGCACAGTCCATGTAATGATTGCCTCCAAGTTTGAAAAGGAGAGAATTATCTAAATTAGACAGTGGGGAAACCACCTCACTCTGTAATTATAAATAGTTTTAGATAATTTGCTTTTGGTTTCCATTTGTACATGTTTTTCCCAAGAAGAATGGCCTTTCTTAGCACCTTTTAACAGTATGATCATAAAATACTTAAATATACCCAAGTAGTTTTATAGTTCATCAGTTATTTGCATTCTTTATCCTTACCATTTGGTTATGTTACAAAGTGGTTAAATGCTGATTAAACACCTATATCTAGCAGAAAGCATACTTATATTAAAATACACAGAGTCAGGCTTTTAAACAGCATTTTGAGTCCAAACTAACCACTGCAAGTCAGAATGCAGAAGAAAAAGAAATATATCACATCTAGTCTGGAATCAGAAACTGAGAAGTGAAAAGAAAAACATTACTCATAGTTACTGTATGAACAACTCATGGCAATCACATAGGAAGATTTTGCAGTTATCAGGTAATTTTAAACTTAGCTTCCATTATTGTATTCAGACTAGTGCACTCAACAGCAAAGAAGAACCATAACACAACCCACTGACTCCATTTCTTCACTGCAGGTTGGACATGACTGGAATAGATACTTGATAGGCAACAATGAAAATTTCAACCTGGCTATACCAGAGGCTGCTGTCAAAGGCAACTTCAGCATCCCTGCAGATTTTTACTTCTTGGTATCTAGCCAGGATTTCTCAACAGTTCAGCTGTTTATTTTTTACTAATGCTTTTATACAGTTTCCCTTTTTCCAGCTCCTCTACTAAAGCGATTATCAACAGTAAAAACGTGCCAACCTCTTTTAAGATCCTAACAGCCTTGAGATTGTCAAGAAAGGGTAGCAAATAGTTTTAACTATTTAAACCCTTGAAAGTTTCCTTCAGCAGCTATGAATACTGAATAATGCACAAGCTCTAACCCCTTGAAAAGATGCATCACTACGTGTTTACTCAAAGCCTGAAGGAAAAAGTCAATCTAGACCAAGCAAGTGTTTAGCTTTAGACTGGAAAACTCAGCAAATATTCTAGGTTCAAATTACTAAACAGATAATTTTAGCCAAAAAATAATGGCCATACAATTAAATAAAGGTTCACTGAAAAATTCATATAATGAAGATTTGTAAACCTAGCTCAGAACACCCAATTAGCCGAACACATTACAAAAATGTTGACAGTATGCTTTAGTCTCTTAACTAAGTCCTGGATCAACAACTCTGAAAAGTAAGGAGAAGGTAGAGGAACAGTAAGGAGAAGGAGAGGAACAAAATCTAGGTGCAGTAAGGAACAAACTGTCAGCTTGAGCAAACTACCTGTGATCATCTTACTCATAAAACAAACGACACCTGTTCTTGATATTCAGGAAGAAAAAAGTATATGATGGTGTAAAGGATAAAGAGGATTTGTAAGGAAGAGGATAAAGAAGATTAGGATTGTAGGCAAAAATACAGAATGGTGTCTGACCGGTATCTGTGAGTTTTGATCTTTTTTCTCCATCACTAGCATGTCACTGCAAAATCTCTAAGAAACTCTGTTAAAAGTATTGAGATCAATCATATCAACATCTTTGTTGAAAAATACCAGAACAGCCACACTAAACAGGGAAAATTTAAAAATCAATTTAATTAAGCACAGTGATGTGCAAAGAAGTAAACAAAATGCAAGACATAAAAATGTCTTGTACTTGACAATAACTGCATTTTATTACATGCAGAAATGTCTCCATTTCACTAAGAATAGCCAACCTTCCTGCCTGCAACCCTGAGCAGTTTGAGTAGAGTGACAGGTTACAAAACCACCAGCAAGGCTATGTACTGCAAGCAAAACACACATTGATAAATTCAGATTATACAGAAACATAATCTGAGACCAGCTTTACACCAACTCTTGGGAAGGTGATGCACGTTAGCAAGGCCATGACAACAGAGCAGAGGGCCAAGGCATTCATCACCACGTGTGGCTGCTGCCCTGGTGGTGCTCAGCCATGGGAACACTCTAGTATAACCTGACAGATCTAGGAACACTGGCCAGACCTGGCAATGCTCATTTTTTAACCAAATTCCCAATTGTCACTTTCACCAGAAAATAAGGAAACTAAATCATTAACAGCTTTTATATGAACATCTCTTGAAGTACAAAACAAACCCACAGCAGCCAAAATCAAAAGCCTCATAAATGCAACACATCTAATGTACCCCTGCAGCAGCAGGATTCTCTTGGGACCAGCAGGAAAATGCAAAGTGAAACTAAGTATCATTGCCAGATACAGCAGTATCTGCCAGCAGTTCTTTAATGCTGGGACAGATACACTTGAGAGTAGCACCCTTAAGGGCCAGCAAGAGCAAATATTTTCAATTGCTGAGCTAAAACCATGCAAAAACCCTTAAAAAAGAAGTATGAAGAAGAACAATGAAGCCTGCCCTCAAGAAAGGAGAGAATGAGGCTGAAAACCTGAGTCAGATGAATGGCAGAAAAGAGTGGACAACCTAACAAGTAATTGTTCACTGCAAGTACAGTGGACTCTAATGAAAATGAATATAAAAGAATGCAGGATCAACAGTTAGTCAGTACAAAAGGGGTAACATTTGGGTTTTCCATAGTTGAGACAAAAATGCACCAACACCATCTCTTCTCTTTCCAATCAAGGTGCATGGTTACATTCATAAAATTGGCATATTTGAACCTTAACTAGCAAAGGTTTAAAAACACAATATATTTCGTTCCTAAGTCCATTCTTTAGAACAAAGGCAAGAACATGAGGAAAATGGGGAAATACAGAATAGGTCCTTGATGATTTAAGTGAGAAGCATGAGATGCTGCCAACCACATTTTAGTTGCTTAAATGCTTTTCAAATTTTTTAGCTTCTGCTTATCTGCTCTCTCCAATCCTGGCAGATATTTAAACTCCTGAAGGCTGCTGAGCTGAAGAAATCCAAGTTTTTGGGACCTTAATACTTGGAGATTAGGCAATTTGAAATGCCCAGCCCTCAAGTGCCAGTGCCCAGACCTTTGTGCCAGGGCAGGGACAGGTAGCAGACCTGTCTGCAAAAGGTGTGCCCAGGTGTTGACCTCCTGCAGCAGGTGGTAGGAAAGAGTTGGAT